TTCCACAAGGAGCCTTTCCCAGTTCTCCTTAATGATAGCACCTTCCCTCTGAGATTATCTCCCATTTAGTCTTGTTGGTATGTACTTGTTTACATGTCTCCTTCCTCAAGGACAGGGATTATTTTTTGCCTTTCCTTGTATCCCCAGTGCTTAGTGCAGTGTACACAGGGGTGGGGGGTGCGGTGCTTAATAAATGTGTGTTGACTTGAATATAGAGAAGTATAGAAAGATTTATATGAACTGATGCAGAGTGAAATAAACAGAGCCAAGAAAACAATTTATATGGCTACAATATAAATATAAAGAATAACCATCACACTAAATTGCTGCAAAATTTAAAAGAGCAAGAATGATAATAAGGAGAAATATGAAAAAACGCCTCCCTCCCTGAACACCTCCCCCCCCCCGCCAGAGGTGTGAAACATTGCATGTATTTTCAGACTTGGTTGATGAATTGACCTGTTTTGCTGAATGTTTTATTTTTTCTCTTCTTCCTTTTTTTGTTTAAAAATATTCTTTATTATTTGGGATAGTTTTCTGGGAGAAGGAAGAGGAGGAATACAGGGAGAAATTTAGGTGATATAAAAACCAAAAATATCAATTAAAATTTATTTTTAGAAAAAAAGATAGAGATGAGTCATTGCCCATGAGAGATCCTGCTTTGGAGCAGTAGTGTGGTTGATGATCAGACTTCAGAGTCCTCAGAACTGGGCCCAAGAAGTAACCTCAGAGCTGGGTGCCAACAAGATCTCAGCTCAGGCACTGCCATCTGCTACTTGGAAGGAGGAGAAGCTTTGCTGCTGGTTAGATCTGATTGGACAGAAAGCGGCTACCTCAACCTTTCTCTGCATTGCCATCTACTGCTTGAAAAGTGGAAACCCCTTAGAACCCAGCCAAGGGAGCCTTCTAAGAAAGCTCTGGAGATCCCAGGCTTAGGGGAACTGCTTTTGGATGAAGATGATATTAGACCAAGCAAAGTTGCTGGCTGGGAAAAGCCTGGAAGATCCAAGGCTTAGGAAAACTGTTCTGTTTAAGAGATCTTAACAGTACTTCAGCAGTCCAGGATATTCGTGGCATGTAGAAGCCAATAAAGAAGCGACCCTGCCCAGCAATAAATAAACACACATTTATTAAGCACCTACTATGTTCCAGACATCATGCTAAGCACTGGGAGTACAAAGAGGCAAAATAGATTTCCTACCCTCAAGGAGCTTACAATCTGATGGGGGAGACAACGTGCAAACAAATGTATACAAAGGAAGCTACATACAGGATAAACAAGAAATAATTAACAGAGGAAGGGCACCAGAATTAAAATTAAATGGGGAAAACTTCCATTAAAGGAAGAGATTTTAGTCAGAACCTAAAGGAAGCTAGGAAGGTCAGTAGGTGGAGTAGAGGAGAAAGAGCACTACAGGCATAGGGGAGAGCCAGAGAAAATGCTCAGAGCCAAGAAATAGAGTGTCTTATTCATGGAACAGTCAGAAGACCACTGGATCAAAGTATGTAAGGTTTAAAAGACTGGAAAAGTAGGAGGGGTTTCAGTTATGAAGGCCTTTGAATGCTAAACAGAGCTTTTTGTGTTTGTTCGTGGAGGCAATTCTGTTTGGAACATGGTGTGTTTAAGATATCTATTGGACATCCAGTTCAAGATGTCTGAAAGAGAGATGGAGACATAGAACGGAAGGGTTGCAGAGAGTTTGGGTGAGGACAGATAGATTTGATAATCATCAGCACAGACACAGCCATTAAATTCATGGGAGATAATGAGCTCACCATGGGAAGGAGGGAGATAATAGAATAATAATAGAATAGAGGGAGGAGAGAAGAGGGCCCAGGACAGAACCCTGAGGAGCACTTGAGGATGAAATAACAAGAAGAAACAGTCAGATAAGTAGGAGAAAAACCAGGAGAGAGGAGTCTTGAAAACCTAGAAAGAAGAGAGCCTCAAGGAAGGAAGTGTGATCAACAGTGTCAAATGAGAAATGAGAAAAGGTCCTTGGATTTGGAAACCAAGAAATCATTATTAACTTCAGAGAGAGCAGTTTTGGTGGAATGATAAGTTCAGAAGTCAGATTGTAAGATTAAAAAGAGAATGAGAGGAGAGAAAGTGGAGGCACCAATTGGAAACAGCCTTTTGGAGGACTTTAGTTACAAAGGGTAAAAGGATATTGGATGATAGCTGGGATAGATGGATCAAATGAGGGTTTTTTTCTCCAGGCTAGGGGAAGCATGGGCATATTTATAGATAATAGGTAGACAGGGAGAAATTGAAAATAAGTGAAAGAGTGGGCATGACAGAGGGGAAATCTTTTGGAGGACAGAGGATAGAATGGAATTACTTGAACAAGTAGAGGAGTTAGCCTTGGTAAGAGTAAGGCCACTTCATCATTGGAGGCAGGGGTGAAAGAGAAGATAGTGGAAGAAGGCATCTGAGTGATGGGGGATGAAGAAGAGGGAACAAAGATTTCAGAGTGAAGGGCATCAATTGGTTCTGTAAAATATAAGGTAAAGTTCTCAGCTAGGAGAGTGGGGGGGGTTCAAGGAGGGATGAAAAGATTTGAAAGAGTTGCTCTGTATGGTGGGATAGTGAGGATATGACAGGTATAGGAGAATTGCCTAGCAGCAGTGAGGGCCTAGTGAAGGTTGTATAACATAAATTTGTAGTGGACCCAGTCAGAATGGTTGTATTATTTTCTCCATTTTCACTCATCAGCATAGGTATAAGAGGGAAAGCAAAGAAAGATGGGAGTGATCTAAGGCTGAAGCAGAAGGAGAGGCCCAAAATAGGAACAGCTACACCCTTTAGTTAAGTGTCATGCACGAAGTTCCTGAAGGACACTAAAACCGGCAGTCGTGAGTTGTGATTTGCCATGGGCACATGTGTTCACTATTTGTGTATCTCCCTACCGTGGTTCTGTAAGTTTGTACCCACTCTCCCACATGGACACTGGCTACATTGGAGAGAAACTATGTCCTAGGTTTATGGGTATAAATGTTATATTTTAATGATTCTTGCTTTGCTTTTTGTTTTAAAATGTTCCTGGTTAAGAGGTAATGGTGGATGATTTGTAAAATGGTTATAATAACGATGAGTGACCAGAAGTTCCAGTTATAAGTAGGAGGGTAGTTCTACCCACTAGGATGGGGCCCTAGAGATACTGAAAGTGAGTAATAGTAGTGTGGCCACCCTGCCTGGGAATCCCTGATTTGCCAGTGTGAGTGAAGGTTGGGGTAAGCCAGCCTAGAGACAGAAGAGAGAGAGAGAGAGAAGAGAGAAAGAGAGAGAAAGAGAGAAAGAGAAAGAGAGAGAGAGAGAAGGCTCAGTGCTAAAGACCTTTCTCATCTACATTTCTAATTTTGAGGTTCCAGGTGCCACTGAGTCATCTAATACAGAAGCCCAAGCCCTGCAATCCTATAGTTGTCTGCCATGTTGTATAATATCTCAATCAGTTCCTCATTTTCCCCAGTTATAGCATGCAGATAACTGACATTTAATCCCCAGGCTTTTTGAGGGGCATCGCATAAACTGTCCTTGGAAGGTCATTCTTTGAAGCCTCTCAGAAAAAAAAAAGTGTTATGTAAGTAAAATCTGGGATCTCTTCCAGTTCTTCCTTTTCTTTCAAATACAGGAGGCTTGATAATGAAGGGACCAGTAGTAAAAAGAAGCTCCACACGAGTCAAGGACCTGCTAATCTAATTTTCAGGTCTGCCAAAGAAAGAAAAAGAAACCCACAAACTCTCAAAGTTTAAAAAAAAAATGTCAGTGGCCAAGTGACTTTCAAAAAAGGAAAAAAGTTTAATTGAAATCGTGCTTTCTGCTGAGCAGTACCTGGCTCTCTTTATGCCTCTGCAGATTTAATGTTTCCACTTGAAAAAGTGTGGAGTGGGAGCTTCATCTACAAGCTTTCAGTTCAAGTGGTGATTGATTATAAGTGCTCAGGAAGTAATTACAGATATGTTCCATTGTTTTTTCCCCCACCAAAAAAAAATCATAAAGGATAAGTCCTCTTTCCTTGCTCTTTGGTATGTGTTTGTATTCCTTCAGTACTTGCCTGGCGTACAGGAAGGAGCACTCAATGGATCAGATGGCACCCACCACCCTGAAACAGATAAAAACCCACAGCCCTCACATCTATGGGAAATGTCTCCGTCTGGCAGATTAGTGATTTCACCAACACTTTGAGAAGCTCAGATAAATATTTTTTGATGTTCTTGATCTGTGCCTTTCATATTTGTGACTTGACAAACAGTCCTACTGGTTTTCTCTGAAATTCTTCAAAGCAACTTCCCTTTGCATAAACAGCATGTTGAGTGTTCCATGCATTCTAAGGGTCAGTGAAGGTTTTATATGTGTTTATCCTACCAGAAACACATTCCCAGCTTCTATTTGCTACCTTTGTTCTAGGAGATGATGTGTTCGTCCTTTTTTCTCTGCTTGCTATGCACGTTTAAATTCCCAATAAAGAGCTGGCATTGCTCCCTAAAGAGTCCGAGGAGCAAACAATCGTATAAACATGTTGTTATTGCATTTTAATGAATGCTTTTTACCAGCATGGAGGTGGGTGGGTAGGGGCTGGAACTGATCCTTTTACAAATACATTTAAAGCTCATGAAGTCACTCTTCCAAAGCAATTTCCATAGATGTTTTGAAGCATTAGGAAAATCTCTATATGCTGCCATCCTGTAGCTGCTTTGTTGACCAGCCTTTGGAGTATGATGGAGTTTGGGGGCTGCTCCAAGTGTGAGAAGTTCCTTGTAAAAAGTGTTTCTTACTTTTGATTTGACAAACTATCCACTTTTCTCTTCCTGCCCTTACTCCTTCCCCTAGTATATGGAAGATGTCCTTGGGGGAGTCAAACCTCCATGAAGACTACCTACTTGTCTTTATTAAAGTTTTATTCTTTTAATTAACAAAAATCTATTTTATCTCCCTCCCATTCCCACCCTCCATGGAGAAAAGAAAAAAGAAAAAAAAAATCTTTGTAACAAATATGGATACTCAAGCAAAACAAATTTCCCCCTTTGGTCATGTTCGAAAAATACATGTCTGATTCTGCACACTGAATCCATCTCCTGTCAGGAGGTGAGTAGCACGTTGCATTGTTTGTCCTCTTGAATCATGGATCATGACTGTATTCACCACAGCTCTTACAGCTTTCAAAGTTGTTTGTCTTCACAGCATTGTTGTTATTGTATAAGTCATTCTCCTGGTTCTACTTGTTTCATTCATCATCACTTTATAAAAGTCTCTAAAGTTGTTCATTTTTGTAATGTGGATGTATTGTTATAAATCGTTCTTTTGTCTGCTCACTTCACTGTGTATCAGTTCACGTAAGTCTTCCCGTATCTCTTTGAAATCTTCTACTTCCTCATGTCTTACAGCACCAAAGCATTTTATCGCAGTTCCAGCCTCCATTTGTTGACTTTGTTCTAGGTTACTGTTTAGTGACATTTTGTGGTAATTCCAAATTGCTTTCTAGAATGGTTATACCCATTCACAAATAGGATGGCATAGTACACAGTTAGCATGGTCCCCTAAAGGTGTGTTAATGGACCTCTGTTTCAATAGTCCCTCCAACATTTGTTTTGTTGTTATCCTTGCTAATCTGATGGGTATGAAGTGGAGTGTCAGAATTGCTTTAATTTGCATCTCTTTAACTATTACTGACCTATATATCTTAAAAGTTGATTAATCTGGGGATTTCTTTATCACTATTTTAACAGATTGGTAATTAATGATGCATTGTGTATGCATGTACATGGGTATGTGTGTTCCACAACCAGATTTCAAGGCCTTGTTGGATTCATCGGGTTCTGTAGGTAGAAAGGAGGTAGAATGTAAGTCCTTTGAGGGTAATCTAATGCGGCACTTCAAATAAAATAGGCATTTAATAAATGTTCGTTAAATTGAAATCCTAGACCTGTCACTTAAAACTGTGTAACCATGGGCAGTCACTTAAACTCTCTGGATCTCAGTTCCTTGTCTGAAAAAATGACATGGTTAAACTAGATAATCTCAAAAGTCCCTTCTATTTCCTTGACTATGGTCCTGTGAATTGAATTGAATTAAAATTAATCAAAAGGAAAAGTCTGTGGAGCATGTGTGTCTTGTGATGAGCACAGCTTTATTATCAGTACCCACGACCTCAACCTAGGGTACTCAAGGCAGGGCATACTCCATCGTGCAGGGTCATGGATATAGGAGGATAGCATGGTATCTAGAGTTAAAGACACTCTGACTAAATCATTCTTGCACAGCTTCCTTTTCAATAATGAACTCCTCCTAACCACCTCTTGGTCCCTATCCAGAAAGGGAACAGCCAAAGTTAGTGGCACATCATCTCTTAGCAGTAGGACCCTAAGGTTTTAACTGTATGTTAAAGAAATATCTACATTAACCTTCCAATTTTGTTGTGATGATCAAATGAGATATTTGTAGCACAACGCCTAGCAATTGTAGGTGCCACAAGTATTATTATCGTTATTAATATAATGATAATTATTGTTAGAGTAAATATTTTTATAAAATATTTCATTATTTTCCTGTATATTGGGAATTTCTAACCCATGCTCTCCATGTAGATTGATAGATTTCGGGGCAACTGAGATATTGGATGAGGAAGAAAATACATCTGTTTCAATATAATTTGTTTTCATTATTAAAAAAATGAAATATCTACATTAACAATAATACTCTCTGTACCCCACCCCTATTCCAGAAGTATAAGTGGAGGTGGGACACCCAAGGGATTTTATCCAGACCCAATTTTAAAACTTGAATCTGTCACATTAACATGTTTTCCACAGTACTGTATTACTTGTAATGAAAGAATTTCTCTGTTTGCATCTAACACCTATCCCAATCATTCTTCATGTCCACCCAACAAGATACCTTTCCCATGCTCTACCCTCCTACTTCTCCCATCTACTGTTGTTCAATCCACGGAAGAACAAGATTTAATAATGCTGACTTAGTCAATAGATTTAGAGGCTAAGATGGGGCACAGCATGGGATGAGGGGAGGAACTGAATGAAAGCCACTGATGTAGGAAAGAGTAGAGGAAGGAAACCACATGGAAACCACACGGAAACCATGAGAACAAGGCTCTGAGGAGCCCCCAACTAGAAAAGAAAGAATTCCAGAAATGTCCAGGAACATACAATGGCTTTACCTATGACTGGTTCACCCATGACTTTGGAGAAGATCTTCAAACTATTCACTGTCACTAAGATGGCTCAAATGAGACAAACTCTCTTTTACCTCCTTCCTCATTTCTCTTTATTGTTTGCTCAAAGACTCTTCTCTCACATCAGGGACTTAGGGAGATATAGTGCTTTATACTTTAAAAAGTCACGGTAGGAAGAACAAAATAAGGTACAGTAAGTTTGAGGACATCCAGGAAACGCCAGCACCTTTAGGGAGGGACCTATTTGCTGATATATCAGCTTCAAGTAACTCATGGCCAGATTCCCCCTGGGGATGCAGAAAAAGGACTGTTTGTAATCTGCAGAATTCACTTGAATGAAGATGAACTTGACTTTTACTTAAAAAGAAAAAAAATCAAACTCAGGTCTAATGGGACTATCGGCAAAATAATAAAGGCATTTTCCCATCAGTAGTCCAAGCAACTCACTACCTGCTATTGTATCATTAAAAAAGGTTTGATTTTTTTTGTTTTTCAAGAGTCCTTTAGAAATGCTTTGGTACATCCATGAAAGGAAGCTCTGGGGATGAATTGCTGGCTTGGCTGCACGTCTAAGACCCTGCTTATTTATGAGATCCATTAAGTTATGAAAAGGGAGGTTAATTACGAAGAAAACTCATGGCCTAAGTGAAGGGAGTTACAGTAATCTCAGTCAAGGCACTAATAAAGAAGACAGGTTTTGTTGCAGTGGTAATCTCCAGGGTGAGAATTTATTGTGAGAAACTGATAATGAATGTGGGTACTGCTTGGTGTTTGTATGGAGAGCTGAAGAACCCGTTGTATTTTAGATGTGTTAATGTGGAGGTTGCTGTAGCAATGATTCATTAACCCAAGGGCCAACTACAGTTCAACACAATTCCTTGGAGCTCTTTTTTTTTTTTTTAAAGTCGGGAGTTTGGTAAAAGTCCCAAATAGGTCTTGCTTGGGGCCAGTTTCCCACTTAGTTTATAAGCTTATGCATCTACCATTTTGAAGATGAATGTTTCCAGTCCCCCTCCACATTTTCCCCTGATGATTCCCTCTCAATTCTTCATTAAAATAGTTTCAGAAAAGCTAGTTAACATTCAAGAAGCCACACTTTTTCCTTAAATATTTTCCTTTCTTGAAAACAAAGGATTGTGTTTTTCTAAGACAGTACTGATTTTTGGACCGTGAAAATACCACAACCTGGCCTTTTGGCAGAATTACAGATTTATTTAGAGCTGACCTTGGAGGTTAGCTAGTCCAAGCCCCTCATTTTACAGATAGGGAGATTGTGATTCAAAGAGATTAAATGACATACCTAAGGCCACAGAGGGAGCAAGTAGTCAAACCAGAGTTCAGACTAAGGTCCCAAGATTCCAAGGCCAGTGCTCTTTCCGATCTCCCACTCTGCTTGGCTTTGAAGATGAAGAGAAGATTGAACACTTAGTGATCTATTCCTAACATCATCTGTTTCAATAAAGTACAAAAATGGTTTAATAACCAGCATATTCATTTTAGTGGAAATCATGACAGTAGAATATTATAGTATAATGGGACTGAACCTAACTCAATAATTTGCTATCTCATCCTTGACAGAGAATTTGGAAGTTGTCCCAGAGAGCTGACCATGCAGAGAGCCAGGCTATCTGAAGGAGAGGGACTATTGCATTGATCAAAGATCTTAAGGCTTAAATTGTTCATTTTTACAATGTTATTATTATAGTATAACTTGTTCTCCTGGTTCTACTCCCTTTACTCTGAATCAGTTCATATGAGTCTTCCCAGGCTTCTCTGAAACTATCCCCTTCATAATTTCTTACAGCACAATAGTATTCTATTACAAACATAACCATATCCATAATTTGTTCAGCTATTCCCCACTTGATTATCAATCTCTTAGTTTCAGTTCTTTACTATCACAAAAAGAGCTACTGTTATAAATATATATGTAAATATATAGTATGGGCCCTTTTTCTCTTTCTTTGCTCTCTTTGCAATGACCAACTATGATTTCCCACGATTGTTGAAGAAGTATTCTACTCATTCTTGACAGAGAGGTGAGGGACTCAGAATGCAGAATGAAACATTCATTTTTAGACATGGCCAATGTGGGAATTTTTTTGTTTGACCATGCGTTTCTGTTACAAGGGTTTTCTTTTTGATTTTCCCCTAATGAGGTGGAGGGAAAAGGTGGAAGGGAAAGGGAAAAATGCTTGTTAATTGAAAAAAAAATTAAATGAAGAAGAAGAGTAATGAATAACGACTAGACCCATTATTTAACTGGTGGAGAGAACTTCCAGATGATGAAACTCCCTCCATGAATGCTGGATACACAGATCTGTCTCCCAGCCTCACAGAATTGCCTGGGGCACCCAGAGGATCTGCAGAGAGTTCCCAAAGACAGTATATGTCAGAGGGAGGATTTCCTTACCTCCAATCTTGGCTTTCTAACCACCCTGACATGCTACCTTTCTAAGTATGGAGTTTGAGGATTCAAATGCTCAAAACGTCTGCTGTCACCTTCTATCATTAATATAGCTCTTTAGAATTTGAGAAACACTTTTGATCCTCACAACAGTCCTGTGTGGTAGGTTCCATTATTATCTCCATTTTGAATATCAGGAAACAGGCTGAAAGAAGTTAAGTAACTTGTCCAGGATCATACACTCATCATCACAAGTGGGGCTTAAGCCCAGGTCTTACTGACTTTAGAACTAATTTTTTACCCACTAGACAATTCTGCCTGTAAAATATTTTCTAGTAACATTTAAAAAAAATCTGTATTTCTCAATTGCCAGATGTGACTATCACTTTAAATCTCTGCTTTTTTACCTGTTACTCAAAGCCGAAATTCTGTGCTTATATGAACTGGGTTCAGTTTAGGCGGTTTCTTACTTAGTAACAGTTTTTGGTCAATGTCCCCATCCAGGATTTCCCCTGGAAACAGCCAAATCTGGCTTATTTTTCTATGCAATTGTCCAGGTGTCTTTAGTTCTTTTGCCAGCACCAAGCTAACAAGAAATGGAATAAAACAAAGTTGTTACACACATCAGTAAATATAAAAAGGATTCATGCCTGAGCCCTTAAATAGTCAAGAAAACTTTCTCCTCCCTTGAGTTAGAGCTTCTCCAGGGACCTAGAGAGTCAGTCCAGACTTAGAGAGCCATCCTGATGTTGAAGTGACCCCCAATTCCCCCAAAAAAACCCAACCCCCAAACCCAAGGTTATTAAGAAGTCAACAAAACAAAACAAAGCGAAACAAAACAAAACCCAACACCCTACCTTTTATAGTGAGCATCACTTCCTCCAGGAACCTATACAGGGCTCTTGACTTATTGTGCTAACCTGTGGTTAAAGAACCCCCCCCCCCACTCCCACTTCCCCAAGCAGAGAAAAAACTTGGGCTTCCTGAAAGTCGAGAAATCTTCCACTCTAGCAGACCTCACTTCTCTTCTGTACTCATGTTATTTGAAGGACTCACAGTGCCAGGTTTGCTCCTTTCACATCATCCCTCAGTGTGGTCCAGGAATTTCCCCGTCACTGCTGCTTCCCCCAGCACCTGTTCTAATAAAGTTTTAAAGTTCTGCTGTCTCGTTGCTATTGCTAGTGTACTCTGTTTCTATAGCTGTCATCCTGCTGCTGCCCCTTCTTCGGGAGGATGTCATTGTTTATTTAGCAGACTTCCTGGGTCAATATGCCTTGGGGCTAATCTATATATTTTGAATTTTATTGTCAGTCATGCTCACTCCCCACCCATCTGGCTGAATAAAGGGCTCCCTGGGTTGCTGTTAAGATTTTGATAATTGCCTTCCTGAAAGGCATTTCTGATCCCTAACCTTCACTCCTAGATGTGTCCGGGTAAATGAATTCCCTTAATCTCTTCCCTGCCTCAGGGTAGAGTTGGGATGCCTTACCTGGTCCATGTTTTTTACAAAGTCTTCTTGACTTTTTGCACTTCTCTCCAATTATTTTTCCAGTTCTATTCAATCTCCACTTCTTACATCCTTCCTCACCCCACCACACCCCTAGTCAGTAACTAGATGAAAATCACCTGGAGGTTCAGATAAGCCTCAAGAGGGTCCTAGAAGGGGAAAGTCATAGTAAAGCTGGCAACAGCCACTGGCATTTCTACTACCACAACAAAGACCCATGTCCTCATTTCATCTGTACTGTAATAAGTGTGATGATATGAAGCATCACTAATAAGAGCCAGTAACTATCACATATTGGTGAAAATTAACAAGCTTTAACTTAATTCAATTAATGACAGGCAATATCCCTTAGGGTATTAGACTTGGAGTCAAGAGGATCTAGGTTCAAAATTTGCCTCAGAGAATTCCTAGCTATGTGACTCTGGGCAAATCATCTAACCTCAAATGTAAAATAAAGGGTTGGATTTAATGGCCTTTAAGATACTTTCCAGCTCTAGATCCATTATCAATTTAACAAACATTTATTAAGTACCTAGTCTGTGTAAAGGCAGCGAGGTGGCCCAGTGGATAGAGCCCCAGGCCTGAAGTCAGGAAGACCTGAATTCAAATGTGACCTCAGACACTTACTAGCTATGTGAAAACATGGCAAGTCAAAAAGACAAGTTCAGGGAAGGGCAAGTCACTTAAGCCTCTTTGCCTCAGTTTCCTCATCTGTAAAAATGAGCTAGAGAAGGAAATGGCAAACAATTCCAGTATCTTTGCCAAGAAAACCCCAAAAGGAGTCCCAAAGAGTGGGATATAACTGAAACAGCTGAACAACAACAACAAAATGTGTGCAAAGCTTTGTGCTAAGCAATAGGGGATTCAACGTAACAGTAGAAAGAGTTCTGGGTTTGTAGTCAGAAGATTTGGGTTCAGATCTTGAGTGGTTCACTGCTTGGGTAACTTTGAACACATTTACTTCATTCTCTGTGCAATGTTTATTCATCTGTAAAATAAGGAGGTTGGAGTAGATGACCTCTAAGGTCCCTCCTAGCTTTCAATCTACCATCTATAATCTGAGAGAGGATAGCACTGTCTCTAGGGTTATTTTCCCAAGTCCCACTGGAACTGACAGGCAGGGTCCTCCCCAAAGGGCAGCTGCCTACCACTACTCAGAGTTCCAGGGGTAACTCTATGGGTTCCTGGGGTTACTAGTACTGTCAGTCCTGGACAGTGTTCTCTGTTGATTCTCAGCCAGACTTAATGAGCTTTTTAGAAAGGAATACTTATTAATAAGCAGGTGCACCATGAAAAGTTCTTACAGAGAAAACCCCACAATTGGGAGTTTTGTTGTTGTTTTTCAGTCTTGTCTGACTCTTCACGACCCCATTTGTGGTTTTCTTGGCAAAGATACTGGAGTGGTTTGCCATTTCTTTCTCCAGTTCATTTTACAGATAAGGAAACTGAGGCAAATAGGGTGAAGTGACTTGCCCAGAGTTACACAGCTAGTAAGTGTCTGAGGCTAGATTTGAACTCAGGTCCTCCTGATTCTAGGTCTGGCACTCTATCCACTGTACCACCCAGCTCCCAATTGGGAGCATACTCTTCCCTTAAACACACAAGATCCCTGGGGAGAATGGGGTCAAACTTAACAACATAACCAAAGGGTAAAGTCTCAACTCCTGGCTACCAGAAGTCCTTTCCTTCCTTTGTGTAGATCTCATGAAGTCACCCTTAGTTAGGTATAACTCTCATCTGGGCTCTTAGGTTAGGGTCTTCACAGAGCCCGAAGCAGCCATTTTTCAGTGTGTCTGTCTAGCTTGTCCTTGGTATGTATATATCAGCACCTGACGTGGCTACTGCTCTGCCATTCGCTATTGTCACTCTGCAAACATGCTACTGAAACTCCAGGCGGCTTGAAGTTCACAGATATTACCTGGTGTATGTGAGTGTTGGGAGAGGGAGAGAGAGAGAGAGAGGGGGACAGAGACAGAGACAGAGACAGAGAGACAGAGAGAGACAGAGAGAGACAGAGAGAGAGATAGAGACACAAAGACAGAGAGAGAGAGAGGAAAAGAGAGAGAGAGGGAGAGACAGAGACAGAGAGACAGAGAGAGAGACAGAGAGAGAGAGAAAGGGATGAGAGAGTCAGAAAGAGACAGAGAGAGACAGGGAAAGAGACAGACAGATAAGGAAAGACAGACAGACAGTGACACAGAGAGAGACAGAGAGACAGACAGAGACACAAAGATAGAGAGGGAGAGAGAGACGGAGACACAAAGACAGAGAGACAGAGAGACAAAGAGAGACAGAGAGAGACAGAGAAAGAGAGAGAAAGAAATTTTCTGCACCTCCTCCCATGCCCTCTCAGGAGTCCTTCATTATGGATTCAACACCACTCAACTGGCCTGCATATGGAATTGGAATGTGAGATGTGTTTATCTTTAGTTTCAAAAAAACTCTTCAGGAGGCATTGATTGCGACTAGGGAAGGCAGATCACCTGAACCCTGGCTTGTGTTGTTATACTTAGGCCCAGAGATGTTTTTGATTCTTTCAACCAATCATGAGATATTTTGCGTGTGGCGTTACTTGCTTTCATACAGTAACCCAAAGTTCCTTTTATGCTTTCAGACTGGTTAAGAACTTCTTTACACCTAGTTTACTTTTGACAAATTGACTCAATAAAGATGTCTCTTTTCTTCTGTGATTACATTAATTAGGGTGGGATAGAACAAGAGTCAAAAAAAAGTTCTTGCCTTCAAAGAATTTGCCTTCTATTTGCTTTTATCTTCATGTTTCTAGAATTTAGCACAGAAACCACTTAACAAATTTATTTTAATGATAACTCTCATTTGTGTAACTTTAAATTTTCAAAAGATTTACCTCAAAATAACCCTGTACAAATACAGTTATCCTTTCTACAACTTACTTTCCCCATTGAGGTTTTGATATATCTTGTGTCAGCATAAGAAATAAAATGGGAATTTTGGGGAGTTTTGCAGAAGGCACAGACAGCACATGAAGGCAAGCGGACAACACAGAGCCTATGGCCAAATACTTAACCCAAATTTTACAAAAAGGCACAGTGAACACCCCATAAAAGAAGAAGAAAAATTTCAGACTTCTTCTCTGGTACGAAGGGAGGGGCAAAAAATTTACTTGGATTTTCCATATTGCAGTGATGCCATACCCCTAGCCCCCTTGATGTGGAAGGGATAACTATTATTATTATCTCTATTTTACAGGGGTTCTGGGGCTCTGAGAGGTTTAGTGTCTTGTGCATGCTCGCTTACCTTTTAAGTTGCTGAGGTGGAATTTGAACCCAGGTTTTTCCAATTCTGCACATGCTCTTATAATTAATTGGTTTGAGTTGATAGCATTAGGCTGAGACCAATGCGCAGTGGCCAGGCCAAGTGTTTTCCAGATGAGGACACTGGCTCTCTGACAGCCCTGAATGAGAAAGCTATTCAAAGACCAGAGCTACCTACCCCTGTGACTCTTCTATGAGAGAGAGACACACACACACACAAGAGAGAGAGCCCGAGCTGGACAGAAACTGCTGAAACCCAACTGTGCCTGATGTGGTGAGAATCGGGGTCTGTGGAGCTGATAATTACCCTTTTGGTTGGCATTTTATTACAGACATTTGATGTTTTTTGTTGGTTTGTAAGAATAAATATGTTGTTATTTGAACTGAATTGCTGGTCATTTAAAAAGAAAAGTTTTTATTTTGGTAAACAAACCTAGACATGTAACAAAATAAGGATGTCGGAAGAATTCTATTTGGGTGCTTAGATTTAACAGCAGGGTTCTTGCTGCTTCATTTTGTTTGTTTGTTTTTTTAATTTTGGGGTGTGTGTGTGTGTATGTTTGTTCTCCCTTCCTGTCACTGCCCTCCCACCCCCAGCAGTAAGTAACCTAGACTTGCCACTGGGCATTTCAATTCAGCTTGTAAAATTACACAAATCAACTGAACATGTAAGGATGTACCAGTCACCTTCACTTGCACATCACAATGGCGCTCTCAGGAAACAGAAGCTTATTTCAGGGAAATACCCTCTTTAACCAAGCAACTGTATTCCTTCAAGTT